TGAACAGAAGAAAGTGCACAAACATACTGGTACTATAGGTGGTACATACATTACAAATTAACCTAACTTTACTTGCTTTCTTAATGTGATAGCTCCTAGTTCCTCGTGCTAGCTGATGAACATACGTCGAAAGTGTGAGAAGGAAGTACTGAGACTTGAATAGAATGGGAGGGAACTAAAAGGAAGTTGGGGCCAATAACACAACGAGGAAGTTCATCAAATGTTATCAGTTCGATGAAATCGAATAACATTTGATGGGTGGGAAAAGTGACAAGCACGAGGGAGACGAGAAATCCATACAAAAATAGAATCAGAATGGAAACAATCAACCTGAAGAGGAGGCACATGTGAGATGATAATATTAAATCGATCTTGAAGAAGTATAATATGATCATGTAGACTAAGGCCGCGCCACAGCTCAAGCGGTTAGTGGCTGGCTTCCCACCGCGGCGGCCAAAGTTCGATCCCGTGTCTGGTCAAGTGGGATTTGTGGTGGACAAAGTGGCGTTAGGGCAGGTTTTCTTCCTAGTACCTCGGTTTCCCCTGCCAATCTTCATTCCATCAGTTGCTCCACAATCACTCTCACCTATCATCTGGGGCTGGTATAATAGGCCAGAAGTGGCCGCAGTACAAGGGACTTAGTCCCATCCCACAAGCAATAAAAAATCATGTAGACTAAATTAATCTGGTTGAGGAGGAGGTCGAATGCCAATCTGTTGTTCATGTGGCAATAAATTTTACGTTCCGTGAAAGGTGGGGAATTTCCTGGGTAGCTGAGAAGGAATTTGCTCCATGTGGTAAAGCCCGCATTTGTTTGCGATTAAGACGAAAGTAAATTCGGTGGAATTACGTCATATGTTCCTCTACGTACAGTTTCTTGATAGTGTGCCAGTTTGTGATATTCTGCGTTGTGACACCGTGACAAAGGTTTCGGAGGAATATGCTATATCTTTGTTCAGGCTCGAAGTCGTTTCGACCCTAAAAATGGAGACAGCATGTTTCTACGAAACGTCAGTATTCACCGAACATACACTACAGACATACGGTGTCACAACCCAGAGAGCCACAAAGCGATAGATTGCTCTCGTGTAAACCTGAAAATATTTGTTGATAATTGACGGGGCAATTTTAACGGGTAAACAATATTTTGTAGGTTCATATCCGTAAGTATGGTAGGCCCGAAATATAAGAAGATTGTTTTAAACACAAACAATATATTAAATATAATTATTAACATTTAAATAGTAATGCCAGTAGAATTTTACTTCTCTACATGAGAAAAATTTGTGATCACTGCAAAACACCTGCTTTAAAAAAATTTGACCGAATGTGGTAGGAATATATTATAAAGAAAACAATGTGATATTAACAGTAAGAACAAAAGCATTTCCATCTCTCCTGCAGGTTATTTCGCGAAGTACTCTGTTAATATTATATTTAAACCACTTTTAGTTTTGGAGGGAAATAATAAGTACAGTTCACAAAATATGTTTCATGGGTAGAGAGGCTATTAGCAGAGATAGACTAATTAACTTAGGGGTCTGTCTATGTAGCATATAATAGAGATTCAGCTTGGTTTAGTGAAATAACACGAACTCCCACTTGTGTATATTTCGCTAAACCTTCTTCCTTTCCTTTCACTGCCACGGATCCAGGTTGCAGACTCACATTATTCATGTAACCTGCCCCCCATGCGTGTGTTTTGCTCCCTTAAGCCGCTTGGTTGTTTAGTTCTCCAGGGGTGAAAAGGGGGGTGGGACGAGGATTTCCACAGAGGTAACGATAGCAGGAAACAGCACACGTAAGGAAAATTTAGTAGCATCCACAGTGTTTGTTCGTATTTTTATGCTTCGTGTTAGGATGTGGAGCAACCTACAGAGGCTGGAGTTTTTTTAAGGTGTGGGGATTTTAGGGGTGTTAGGGAGGCAGAAACGGAGGTGGGGTGGCAGGAATGATGGTAGATTTAAAGGGATTGCTTGTAGTATACCCTCAGCAGGAAAAAATTTTGTAAGGAGGGGATGAGAAGTTGAGAGAGGTATGGGGTGTACGTGTATATATGTGTGTGTTTTAAAGGGAGAGGATGTTCGGAATGGGAGGGTGAGAGGTGGCGCTAGCATCCAGCAGAAACAAGCTGCGACTCTGCAGATATACGCATAGGGAAGGAGCAATTTGCGAAATTTCATTAGCATATCTATTACCGCGTAACACCGTTCGTTCTACCCTCCCTCTTTCACTTACCCCTAAAACCAATAGGGAAAGACAGAGAAGTAGAATACTCTTGGAAGAGGGTATATAGGAAGAGGGCGACCCCTTTCCGGCTTGATTAAATGGCAGCTCTGGGACCCCATTGGGGATAATTAATTTTCGATTGCCCTCCAATCTTGGCACATGTACCGCAAATAAAGCGATGCATGGGGTGAGGTAGGGGAAGGAAAGAAGGATGTAGAAGGTTAGTCCATGCCTCTCCTAGCTTCATAGTGAAGGACCAGTCAAGGCAACAGCAGAAGCAGCAGCCGAGCGTTCTAACGCGAGTCCTAACTCTATTGACACCCCCCAATGAAGCTAAAGTGCTACCAGTGGAATGGCGGTACATCGAGAAGAGAAAGAGAGAAGGAACAGCCATTTTCTGAGGAGGAAAGTAGGAGATTTAACCTATGCAACTAACCAGACAGGGGAGCAGATCTGGGGGATGCTTTATGCATGCCATTATGTTAGAAGGCGAGTCTGGGTGTATCCCTTCTGCATGTTTGTGACTAGTGCCCATGGATATTCTTTTCGTATTATAGATGGGGGTTTATTCGGAACACCAGATGGCACGTTAAAACACAATCTTGACACTGCTGGTTTTAAGTAAGGTTATGTTGTAGCTATTATTATGCTAAACGAATTAATAAATAACCTGTGTGTCACATGAAAAATATAGCATAAGCCTAAACGAGTCTTCAGATTGTATTGGTAATATATATTTTTGTTATAAATGAGCAGCAGTTGAGAGTTGAGCGTACGAGATCGAAAGTGCATCTCTAGAACAGGGTATACAAAGTTTCTTCTCAACCTTGTGTCCCTGATAGGTACATTTTGTAAATTAATTTATTTCCATAAATTTTATACTCATAAAGTTTTCTTTAAAATTACTTACTTACTTTTGGAGCTGAGCCCTTTTTGAGAAGAAGCCAAATCTGCAGCTGCTCAAGAATTTGCCAGCATTTCATGGAACCCGAAGGTTCATTACCGTGTTCACAAGAGTCATTGACTGTTCCCTACCCTGAGCCAGATCGTCCAATCCATATCATCCCATCCTATCTCTCTAAGATCCAGTTTAATATTGTCCACTCACCTACGCCTTGGTCTTCCCAGTGGTCTCTTTCCTTCTGGTTTTCTCATCAATATCCTATACGCATTCCTCTTCTTTCCCATTTGTGACCTACCCACCTCATTTCTTTTAAATATAAATCGAACTTTGCATTATAGGTCTAATTAATTGTTGCCCATATTTCAGCCTAGTTTAATTCTCTGAGGTATCGAATTCAACCGAGGAACATTTAAGAATTTGGTGTTTACATCACGTATAAGAACGATGTTTCCTTGACAAAGAATGGCCGGTTAAAGGGAAATAATCGCTAATCATCCTAAGAAACACACCGAGCACAAAATATATTATGTAGTTCAAATGCAGAATTCTCGTCGTTAGAGCAAGCGATACACATTGCTTTAGAATGTTAAACCACATTTCATTCAGAATATAAGAATAAACGGGAATTAATTGGAAAGAATTACTTTTGTTTAACAACACTGACATTTTGTATGAAATGTAGTCACTGTCCGCAAAGCTTAACTTTTACGTAAAAGGGTTTTCTATAGACGTATGGTATAACAAAGCACAACGGAAACATAAATTGGGCTTTAGCCTTCTGTTGTCTAATATCTCTACAGTTGATTTGTTTTGTTAAAATAAAAATATAATTTAAGCTCAAATTTGGAAAAACATTATGACCCTTTGTCTATAACAGTGACTAGTTAGGGAATCAGTGGGGCCTGGATAGTTCAGTTAGTATAGCGACGGACTGTTCGCTGTAAGGGAAGGGTTCGATTCCTGGCAGGGTCAAGAGATATTCCTCTTCTCCGCAGTGTCCAATCCGGCTATAAGACCCAGCCAGCTTCATTACAATGTGCTCTTTCTCCGGTGTTAAAGCGGTCACAACACGAAGCTGGTTACTCATCTCCATCTAGTGCCGAAGTCAAGGATGGTGGAATTATACTTTCACTCTCCCATAAGTTTCCGCGGCATGGTAATTAATTATACACACTGATGATCTGACATAGACTTATACATTTTAGAGCCGGGATAGCGTAGTCGGTACAGCGACTGACTACGAGTTGGATGACCACGGGGTCGCATTTCTAGTTCCGGTAGGGTCAAGAATTTTCACTCCTCCATGTGGTCTAGACCGGCTCTGGGACCCACCCAGCCTCCTATTCAATGAATATCGGGGGCTCTTTCCCCGGGGGTATAGCGGCCTGGACGTTGGCTGACCACTCACCTATAGACAGTGCCGAGGTCAAGAAAACGTGGGTATATATATCTGCTCCGCCATACGTCTCAACGGCATACTGCTTAATTAGTAAAGCACATGGATAACTATAATTTTACCTATACTTTTTTAATTTGCATCGGGAATAAATGGCCTAAATTCGAGTTTTGTTAGAATAGGGTATTTTTCTTACGCCAAGGCTTCCATGCGTGAATACTCTCCTTTACGACCACCCAGCCCTCCATCCAAAAAGTACAAAAGTCTATTTCCAAGGGATAAATCCTAACTGTGCGTGGATATGACTACATAGCTCCGAGTAGTGCTAAGGCCCGGAAGTCGCGGTTAGTTCACCGCCCCCACCCTCATGATTTCAAGGCGTGTTGTTTAGGCCTATCTTTGATAGAAACACTTAGCGGGTCGCATGTCAGAACTGTCATGCTAATAAACAGTCCCGTTAACCTGTTCCAGAGGCTGCGTCTAGGACCGTGCCTTCGCCAGTGCCACCTCGGGAGTGCTACTCCCCAGCGGCGTCTTCGAGTCCCCATCCCTTGGCACTGTGCCTGGGACCGCCGTGTCCACCGTCAGCACAACAGACGATCGTCCAGGTAAATCGGACGCCCCCACCACCGCCACACTCCTTCCTGCTGGGGTCTGGTCACGGACATGTCTCTTGTCCGGCATCGCCGCCCACAGCCTCCAAGAATAAGGCGTCGCTAGGTTTGACGTGCGTCGTATGTGGAGACACAAGCTCGGGGAAACACTACGGCATCCTTGCGTGCAACGGCTGTAGCGGTTTCTTCAAGCGAAGCGTCCGGAGGAAACTTTACTACAGGTAACTGCATCCTCGTAGCGTGTGGGGTAGGCTAACTGAGTGGTTCACTCACTTCTTTGCTGTAAGGCAGCGGTTCTCAACATTTTCGGGACTGTGGCATACTTGGGACGTTCATACTTTCTTCACTTGAATTAGAATCTAACTCCGTGCAAATGGTTCCTTTTCGAGAAGCCTCCAGTCAAAAGAAACTTAGACTATTCTCTATCCAAAGCCAGATGAATCCAGCCCATAGCAGTGCATTTTAATACTCGTATTAATCCTTCCAAGTATGCCTATGCATCCTATCATTTCATTCTTCGGGTGAACAGGGCGTCGAGCTTGAAAAGTTTCTTGAGTTACAATACTGAAATAAATTTATAATACAAGTAAAAATATTTTTAAATAATGTTATCTGCTATATAAAAATATCTTTAATTAAAGAGATACTGATTTTGAAATTTTTTCTTATATGTAGAATTTCATATAATGATTCTTCTCCACAAAACCTAGAGATAAATTTGCAAATGCTCTCGGCACAGCAGTGTCCCACGACACACAGATTGAGAACTGTTGCTTTAAGGTGCAGTAAGTTGATTGGAAATTTAATAGTTGCTCTGCTAACAAAGAAATGGGCCATCTTTTATGGAAACTCACTTTCAGCAGCTCCTTCGCAACGACCAGTCACTGAATCCTCTCATGAGGCATAGAAATCCAGTCTACATTTTCAAACATCCTGTTTCACTAATAAATATTCTAGCACCAATATTCTAGGTCTACCAAGCCGTCTTTGCCTTCAGGTTTTCTGACTATAATAGAGTATCTGTTTCTCAACTCCTTTGCTTAGGCCGCATGCCACGTGACCCGCTCACATTATTACCTTGGCATAATCAGATTAATACGGGATATGAAGAAAGCAGTCTTCTGCGATGTGACGGAGTGTAGATGTTGTGTTAACCGACGTTTCGGAGGAACGTATCGCCTCCAGCTTCAGGGTAGAAGAAAAAAGAAGAAAATCCGCTAGCAAGGAATCATCGTGAGCAGGTGCTATCAGACATCAGTCTCTTAACGTCGGTTAACACAATATCTGCACGGCGTCATATCCCAGAAGACTGCTCTCTTCATAGTCACAGCCCTGAAGACCGCAAATATTACATAATATGGAATAGCGCAATCGGTATAGCAATTTTCCATGGGCTGGTCGACCGAAGGGTCATATATTTTCACTCCTCCATGTCATCCAGACTGGCTCTGGGGCCCACACAGCCTCCTAGTCAGTGGGTAACAGGGGCTTTTCCCTGGGGAGTAAAGCGGCTTGGGCGTGAAGCTGACCACTCATCTCCAACTTGTGCCGAGTTCAAGAAAACGTGGTTATATATATACACCCCCCAATACGTCTTCATGGTTTAGTGCTTAATTAGTTAAACACAGGGGCAACTTTACCTTATTATCTGGTAAAACATACGATTCATAAGGTTAATATTATTTAATCGCTTCCATCCTCCTTGTAACTTATTTCGAGGAGCTAAAAATATTCTCAACACTTCGTTGATATCTTCTCTCAAGGCAACAGACCAAGAGTCACGCTGCGATAGGCCTCGTATTGCAAGAAAATAAAGTCCCTTTCTTCAGCTCCTGTATGGGGCTGATAGAAATGTCTAACCACTTGTTGAATTTCCCGGTTATGGTCCGTTAATCTTTGAATTTTGAATAGAATGCAGTAAGCTTATCTACTCCGCACGCGGTAGCGTAGTTTGTTGAGGCACTATGCTACAAGCCGGAAGGTAGCGGGATCGAATCCCGATGAGGTGGATTTTTTTCAATTTACCTAATCCTTCCAGCCGCACTATGGGCCTGGGGTCGACTCAGCTTCTAATTGAAATGAGTACCCCGAATATTCCTGGGGTTAAAGGGTGGCCGACGGGTAAGGCTGACAAATCTATGAACCGATTGTCTAGAAAATGTGGGAACCTCAACATCTCACAACCCTATTGTCCTCCACGGCCTGTTACAGGGGTACCTTTACTTACTTTTACTTACTCATCAACTTGAAGTTTAACAGGACGTTTGTTTTTTCTATGTGATGTTACCACAAGCTGGTCACAATATTAACGTTGAGGGTAGGAGATCCATAACCATAAGTTGACAGTTCTTGAAGCATAAATTATTAATTTATTGCAGCCTGAAATGCATAAAAATAATATTTAAAAGTACAGTTATGACGTCAAAGAGAACACAGTCATAGCCGTTATGGAGACACTCACGTTAATGCAGCTTAGGTGTATAGCAATTGTTCATTTTGAGAATTGAAAGCAAGCAATCAATACAGTCCCTTAACGCAGTGAATTAAGGCCAAAGAAAATGGCACAGGTAGTAGAAGGCCTTTAAAGGGTTAAATTTTAAGACTGGATTTCTTCCAAATAGTATTGTGACATGACATCTGAAAGCTGGAATAGTGGGGCCAGAGAACAAGAAACTTTGAGCGTGGAAACAGTTGACAGAATCCCAATTGTTAGAAGCCGCTCCCAAGCAACGAATATGTTAAGACGCTGTAGTTCTTTGTAGATTGTGTAGTATAGTAAAAGTTTTTGACTTATTTGTAATTATGAGTAAAGAAGCATCAAATAAAATTGATTCTCAATCCACCAACTTCACCGCATTCCTTAATCATCTTATATACGAAGCTATATAGTTTCGATACTGACAGAATATGTTGTACTTACCAGGTCCTATAAACTTATCTTGTGTTGTCCGTTCATCAAGCCTCATAACATTACATTTTTATCTGTTATTTGTAATAGCATCAATACTAAGAGGAACAGGCTTAGCTGCTTGAAGCAGTGTCCCTCTTGCGTAACGTTGAGATCGAGTGAGTGGCATTCGTTCTCCGTCTTCAGGAGGTCCAGGGTTCAAATATCCGCTCGAAAACCAGCTATTTTGATTGAAGCTTCCAGTGGTATTCCTAGGGCCCTCCCAGCAAATACTGGAAAAGTTACATCCAATTAGGCTAGAAGTGCTTCTTTGATGACCGCCTTCCTAACCTATTATTGTTAAATAAGAAATAACTGTCAATATTTTCAAATAAACTGGAGAGTAATAGCCTACGTAGCTGTACAGCTCACGCTCAAAGAGCTCGTTAATGCATGCTTCATGTACGTCTGTGGCCACATGGCCAACATATATATGTAGTGGACCTTAGACTTCTTCCTTTGACGGATTAGGGTTTCTGACCTGTTCCCATTCAGAATTATTCTGGAACTACGAAACTTACAGAGAGTTTATATGACTTCTTGAATGGGGGATCAGCCCGTCTCAAAGAAATACAAAACTTTAGTCCCAAAACCCAAAGGGAAGGAACAACTTGAAAGACCTACACATAGATAAGAGGATAATATTAAAATGTATCTTAGCGTGTAAAAATGAAGTGGTACCAAGAGGATTGAGTTCTTGTAGCTCAGGACAAAGATGAGTGCTGAGCTTTTCTGAACATGGCAATGATCATAAGATTTGAAGTTACAACAGCGCTGAATATGTGGATTGCATTATTCTGAGGTGTGGCGTCTAGTGGCCTTGTAGATAGTTCCTGGCGCCATTAAGTGAGGTTAAGTTGGAGGCTACATGTTACTCCGAAAAATAGGCAAGGATCTATCATACTATACGGTATCGGATCCCAGAAAACTAGTAATTTTCATGACAGTGATCTTTCGAGTACAACGAAATGCCGGGATTTTCTTCACTGAATGACTATATATATTACAGAAGATCTCTGTTGAACGGAGTTAGTTAGTAATGTTGTATTTTAGCGTCCTGTTGCACTGATTCACGTCCATGATGTGTATTTATCGACCGTCTTCTAATGCACACTTATCTCACGCACGCAGCCACAAAAGAAGGACACATCACAAGACGCAGTGTACACAAAATATAGGAAGAACGACTCCCATAGAGGAACATTGATATAGTACGCGAGTTTGAAATACGAGGCATAAGATGACAAATCTTAACAAATTTTAATATATAAATTTTATTATAGTACATGACGAATATACATTTTAAATCATTTTATAAACGACACATGATCACGAGCAGTGCAATATTTTAATGTAAATAACACACCTGAGGATGGCACAGTGATGCCGAAACATGTAGTGAAGTTACAAGTGAGATTGTGTGCACTAGAAGACGGTCAATACATACACATCAGGGAGTTAGTTAGGTTAATTATCTTAACAGCTATCAACTGTTGCCTATCGAAATAAAAGGTTTCTCATGTCAGTAGGCACAACTGCGTAGCAGAACGTTAAGGCCAATCCCTTACGCCCATGACAGAAGTTGGATAAAGCACGGTTATCACTTCAAGTAGCATATCGTGTACGCACGTGGTAGAACCCAAATCAATTAGTTCTGACCCTCCCTCCTCCTCCCCTTCAGCGTAACTGTTATACTTGAACTTGTAAAGGGAAGCTATTGGGCTATCAGATGGATTTAATCGGGCACTAATTCCTCCGGAGTGGGGAAGGGACATAGGGACTCTTTCATAATCCGGTTTACTTGGCTCAGTACGTGTCATGAATCATCCCCCTCCTGACCAGTCAGATCCCGCCTTGGACGCCAAACCAAGCTCCCTACAAAAGCATTCAATCCCAGCAAGCACTCGACCAAAACCAATCGTACCCGCAGATGAATTCCGCCAACTTGGGATTTGGGAGAAATCCTCAAGGGGTTTCGGTTCATTTCACCCCCTCACGAAACTATAACAAGTTCTCGACACAGCAAGATGACCTTAATTTCATATGAATTGTCAGCTAGGACCATTTCATAGAATGTACACTCACTGGTTTGTTCTATGTCACTCGCTTTCTTAATCGCTGACTTCTTCAATCGCTTGCTAATTCATATATTCTGTCACCCTCTCACAATCACTCACTTCCTCATTCGCTGACTACACTCATCATTTTCTTTCTCAATCGGTGATAGATTCAATCACTCGCTCAATCTCTCACTCACTCGCTCACTGACTCATTCTCTCAATTGCATACTCATCAACTCAGTCACTCATGTTTAATTATTCATTCAGCCGCTTAATAAATTGCTCAACTACCTGCTCAGTAGCTCAGATATTCGCTTGCCAACTCACTCGGCTAGCTCTCAGTCACGAGCAAATTCAGTAGCTCACTCGAGCAAGCCATTCACTTTCCCTCTCTCATTCATTTGCTCAATCTCTGATTTACTTAATCACTTGCCCAAACCCTCACTCACCCACACACTTATTATTTAGCTTTAGTGTGTATGCATACAGCCACTTACAAGCACAATCACTCTTTCAATCGCTCACACAATTGATCAATCTTACACCCGCTAGCTTAATGCTTCACACGCTTGCACAGTCGGGCCACGCGATAGCGTAGTTTGTTTAGGCACCATGCTACAAGCCGGAAGATCGTGGGGTCGATTCCCAATGAGGTCAATGAATTTTTCAATTGGCCTAACACTTCCAACACGGCATGGTCCTGGATCCAACTCAGCCTATAAGAGAAATAAGTACCAGGAATCTTCCAGGGGCTAAAAGGCTGCCTGTGCGAAAGACTGACAACCTCACCGCCAACTATGAGTCGACTGTCTAGAAAAAGTTGGGACCTTGACGTCTCACAAACCTATGGACCTCCACGTCCTCTTACGTGGATAGCTTTATCTTACATTTTGCGACTGCTCTATCGCTCATTCACTCGCTCAATTCTGTCTCATTCTCGCTCAATTATTTATGTTTATTCAGTCGATCGCTTAAGCCTATATATTCCACAGCCCCCTAGTTCTACCCATTCGATCTGTTACGGAGGCCTATACATACAGCCGATCAATTGAGCTGTTCAGTCAATCATTCTCTCACTCGTCCAATCGCCAACTGATTCTCTCATCGGCACACATTCATACAGGGAACTTGGTAATCTGTTGGACATATCCGAGGTACATGTTACTGAACGTCTGGTTTGTTGCTGTCCTTAGATGCCAGGCCGGCACGGGGCGCTGTATTGTGGACAAGGCGCACAGGAACCAGTGTCAGGCCTGTCGCCTCAAGAAGTGCCTACAGATGGGCATGAATAAAGACGGTAAGATCACAGCTTTATATCTTGTAACCTGCCATTTTAACACTTTCCATGCAACGAGAGAGAGGCATTGTTTTTTTTTAAATCGGCCCGCTTTTCACTATGTCCATTTCATCTGCGTAGGAGCGAAAAAAAATTTCTGCCATCTCTTAACATACTAAGCTGAGCATCTGCAGATTCTTACTAATTAAATTAAAAAATTGATATGAAAATATAGCACAAATTAATATGTTTCTGCTTCAAATCTAAGCATGGAACGAGTTGATTAATATTTAATTTTAATTGCTTACAAGTAAAATTACTTTTAAATCAGGGTTCCATTTACCAGGTTAAGAGAAAGAAAAGCGTTCTCCTGTTACCAAACTTCAAACTATGGAAGTTAAAAATGGAGTGAAGGTGAAGCTCCATATATTCTTAAGTAATTCACTATGTAGTGATTGAAGACTCCGCCTAATGTCCATGACGTTCCGAATTTTGTTTTTCTCGGCCGAAGATTTCTTTCTACTGGCTGAGTGGTTTGCTGATCTTCCTCAGTATCTTTAGTCAAAGCTGCGATAGTGTTCTGTAAGCAAGATATCAGTGACCGCAATCGTGTGTAACGCAATTCATAAATATTCCAGCATGCTTTGTGTAATTAGCTGTTGGTAGGCCTGTATAAATTTGCTAAAGCATGGTTTAATAAATTAGATAAAAACAAATAAATAATTTATACAATTTCTGTTACGCTTCTAATATTAATCATCGTACCAGTGTTTACCTGATGTGGGAACTGGGGAGACTTTCCTAAACATAATAGTTTGATGAAATTACGAAAAAGTATAAAGTAAAAAAAAAATATAATCAGAGTGTTAGCAACAATGAAGAAAATTTAAATAAAAAATCAGGCATGCTTAATATTTACGACAGTTTTAATTAAATTATCAGCTTTACACTGCGTCTGCATTATTCTCACAATGAAAAAAGAAACTTGAAGAAAGTCGTCTTCTGGGTTTAGGCACCGTGTATTCTTCGTTTCGGCCGACGTTTCGGAGGAACGTAGCGCCTCCATCTTCTGAGCAGTTGAATGGCTTGGAATTCGGAAAGCAGGCAAGGGGTGCCTACTTCATATATAAGCAGCGACTTTCACATCCTATTACTACAGCTACTGCTCTCCGCATTCCAAGCCATTCAACTGCTCTGAAGACGGAGGCGCTACGTTCCTCCGAAACGTCGGCCGAAACGAAGAATACACGGTGCCTAAACCCAGAAGACGACTTTCTTCATTGTCATCGCCGTGAAAACCTCAGAACTTACAAAAAAGAAACTTGTCCAACTCCAGATAAGTTATAGTCGTGGAAAATAAGAAAACAAGTATCTCTCCTTCACTTGAATGGATCACGGTAATGCATCCCGAAAGACTTAATGATTTATACAGCCCTTTCTAAACTTTCGGTCCTCACGTGTATTTTGTCACTTTGAACGCTGAAGTACCTATGTTACATAGCGTCGAATAGCAAGATCACTGAATGAAGAAATGGGAAGGAAGGAATTATGTCCTGTTCGCTCTTCTGTCCTGCAATTTGATTGGAGAGACTGAGGAAAGAAATTCCTGTCAGCATAGCCAGTCTCATGGCCAAGATTCAAACGAGCAATTCCAGAATACAATTCTACAGCGACGTTAAATAATGAACAACAAAACTCCATAGTTTTAGTTCGCAAGCGAACTATACTGACCGAGCTACCGCCGCTTGTCGGCGAAGTTAGTGCCAACTTTCGGTAAATAACAGGAGAAAAATTGTTGGAGCTTTAGCTTTAGACGAACCCTTTCGATCAAACATCTTCAAATGATTACTTTTTTAAGAGAGGTGAGACTTTCTGGACTTATTTGTGCTGTATAAGATCCTTGATACTTTACTGATTGGGTAAGAACGAAAAGACAATTTTCTTTCCCTGGTTTACGATCTTTTTTCATAATTATATCAAGAACAAATCAAGGGCTTCAGTGTCTTCTTATCTAGTAGATAATGTGATGTTCTTCCATGTCAGTTAACGTGGTATAAAAGGCAAAAAGGTAAATTTGACTCTGTGCTTGAAAATTAAGCACAAGCCATGAAGGCGTATGGGGAAGAGGATGTATAGACCTACATATTTTCTTGACCTCGGCATTAGCTGGATGAGAGTACTCAGCTTCAAGCCCCTGTCGCTTTACCCCAGGGAAAGAGTCCGCTGTACCCATTGTATAGGCGTTTGGGTGGAAACCTGAGCAGTTCTGAACGACATGGAGAAGTGAAAATTCTTGCTCCACCGGGACCAATTGGTTGTCCAGCCCGCAGCCAGTCGCTATACCGAAAGCGCTATCCTAGTTCTTCAGCTAAGGACGACAAAGCAATAAATTTATCTGTCCCCTCATCAAGTACAGACACTGAAAATTAATGGATCCTTCCCTTCATATTCCTTATACGCCTTCGTGGCATGGTGTTTAGCACAGGAACGCCTGATCATATTTCACAAGACTAATAACGATCCCAGTAATTTAGGCAAACTTTCGTCTACATAGATTGATTCTCCACTTTCATGAAAAGTTTTATTTATTATTCTAAACTTTATGCGAAATATCCGAGTCTCTTTATTCTGATATTAAATTTACACATTGCAGGGATAATCAGGAATACCGGTATGGCGCAAGGTTTAGTTGAGGTACATAGAAAAGTTTCTGGTGAATTTAATATTCATGTGTTGCAGCACTTATTATAGGGGAAATATTGTAACCTGTTTATCAGAAGAGCACAACTAATACTTTATAAATTGGAATTAATAATTTCAGTATTACGAACGAGATATATCTCTTTCAAACCATCATATCCATGTCCCCTCTAAGCTCACATCTAATTGTTATGACACTTATCGAAAAGAAGCTTATTCTGCCACTTGTTGACAGGTTATATTAAATATTTTCATTTATTTAATGTGCATTCAGAGTTTTATGTAAAAGCAGTGTCTATGTAACTACTACTCTTTATAATTTAAGTATGGAAATTGTTAAAGAAAAAATGCAAAAATTAAAACATTAAATCCTAGTAATTAGAAAGCTAAATGAACGGGTCTAAATAAAAAAAAGTAAACCGTTAGATTTTCGACACATTCTTTGATATTATTTTCTTGGGAAACAATACATAGCCACTAAAATTTCATTGTGAATACGTAGCGGATATCAACGCCATGCTTTAATTCGGAACGTGAAAATTATTTAGAAAAAATTTCTATCTGAGTTCACTGTTTGTCTATAAGAACAATCTTCTTGAAATATATTTGATCTCAATAATTTGAAGGTCCAGGAAAGGCAGCTACATTTATACTATACAAAACTAGATAAAATGCCCAAAGAGATACTAGCGTTTCCGGCAAACGTGGACACTGCAATACCGACTCAAATATAATGCCTACTGCGTGTATATCTGGCACCTAATTACTACGTAGCCTTACTTTTAACAGATGTAACAAGAAAATATTGGCTACTTCGGCGACCCAGCTTCGATCCAGACTCGAATCATGTGAGATTTGTTGTGGGAAAATTGGAACTGGTGCAGATGTTCTACGAATATTTCAGGTTTCCTACCAGTTCTCTATCAAATTCTTATTCCACAAATTGCTCCATATTTATTAATACTTTTTAATGTCGCTATATGATCTCGATACAGACAGCATCGTCAAATAAGAAATAAGATATCCAAATAACAAGCACTAAATTAGACGCGTCTAAATTATTCTTAAGTGTCGCCACGGCATCGGCTACGTCCTTCAAATGTCACAGTACATGCGAGGCGCCCTTCTAGAACTAAAATAATATATTTCGTTCAGATACTTTCTCATTTACAGTCTCTCACTCTCCTTCCAGATACCAACCTTAAATAAATCTTCACAAAATTAAGCGTTTACATGCAAGTCTTTCATAAAAAGTTCTTTTAAATTGAAAGTAATTTACTGTAAGTGGATAATCCAATTAGGATGTGCGCAGTCAGAAAGCACTAGACGTAAATAATGTAAAATAAACCCATAAAATAATTGTATTTATCTTTGATTTATTTGGCTTAGGATTACTCTTCTTCTTCTTCTTCTTCCAGCTTGACGGATTAGGATCTCTGACTTGCCCTCATTAAGAAGAATAATTCTAACACAAAATAATTAACCACTGCATTTTCATTAGGAATCTCTTACGGAGCTCCTACTGAAATGCGTCCTGAACCACGATTTTGAAACTAGCAAGAAAACTACACTTCATAACATTTCTCCATGTACTTAATTCAATATCACGCCGTGAACACGCGTTGGGGATTGGAGGTATAGCTCCAATTATTTTTAGCGTCGTTAATATCAAGAGGTCATTGGTCGGTTTCACAAGCTTCCACGACACCGAAAGTGAGGGAGGTCGGATAATTTCACGAGATCCTCAGAATGCTGTGGGAAAGAGAAAGATCTATTTCCCTTGCGGGAATCGAACCATAATCCCTCAATCGTCAAATCCAGAAACTAAATTATAGAGCGTATATTTGTGATACCCTTTTTCCTGTATAAGAAATACTGGCAAATGTGTCCTGTTGTTGTGGATGATGTGCCACTCTGTACCGTGGATATTTGGAAAGGACAAAGCGTTTTGTGGTATAAGCAAGAGGCACAAATTAAATCTCTTTCTATAGGCCATAACTCTAAGCTTCAACACTGCTAACTACTAATCCCGGAACTGAATCCTATTCCAAGCCAGGTCAGTCCGGTTTTCAATTCTATTTTAATATTATCCTCCTACGTAGTAGTAAGTTTTGAAGGCTGTTTTCCCAAGATGGTTTCTAACCCAAAGTATACCTAAGTTCAGTTATGATTAGAGACTGACAAAAAATAAATCCGTTTCTAAGGTATGAAGAATTCTAATTTTGAAATACGGTTACAGAATTGAAAGGAAACTAAGAGCTACTACAATAGTTGATGTATGCAGAATGTTGTCGATCCTATAAAAAAAACCCAATGGCCTG